CGGGATGGTTATGTGGCGGCCTCTCGTTTCCGTCTCTCCCATACTTCCTTTTTGCATTACTAACGAACGCAAAATATAGCAAGCGTCGACATGTCAAGGTGAGGGAAGCAGGCTCTCAGACCCCGTTATGGGGATGAACCCCTAGTCCGTATAGTCTCGATCGAGACGGCACGTCCAGTCAGATGCGGTTTGTGCAGGAAATAAGATTATGCATCACAGGGGATGACGTGGCATTTGTTATTGTTTTATTACTTTATTGGTGATTATAAGCGTGTGGCATGGATCACTAACAGAAAGACGGCCAGTGTGACGAACGCCGTCCTGTTTGCTCGCTCTGCAGTGTGTCCGAACGAGCGTGCACGTTCCCCACACTCCCTCCATCTGTATCCGAACAGGCGTCTGCAGACACTTCCCTGAATGCCTCCCAGGGCACATCGCCTCCGCCAAGCGCGTCTGCTGCCTCGAGTGCACCAACGTCGGTTGTTACGCCTGCACTCCCCGTGTTCCCTTCTCAGTCCACGGGCAGTCCCAACGCCAGCGGAGACGGCGGCGACCCGCTTCTCCTCATCGACGATGTCGATGGGGCAATCAACGTCAGCCATGCCGAGCTCATCGTGCACCTCATGACTAATGAAGACATCCAGAGCTTGGCTGCGAATCCCAACAGCCTGTCGAGCGGCATGGTTCTCGGTCTTCGCGCTGGGATCCGCACGCCGTATCTTCTGTATGCCATGCTTGCTTTCTCGGCGCGGCATCTCGCCTACCTGGCGAACAACGGCAGCGACATCAAACGCACCACGCCGCCCCAGTCTCAGTCGTGGCATACTCAACAGCAGGGGACGCCAGAGCAGGCCTCCCAGCCCTCGGTGCCGTCATCTGTTCCGTGGAAACCGTCCCAACCGTTGGTGTCGACGAACCCATCTTCGCTATCGTTGCCCTCCTCGTCGTCGCCCTCATCGATGTCTTCTCCGTCACTAAGCACAGCAGCCTCGCCTATGCCGCCACCGTCACAGTACTCCCTACCGTCGTCGCTGCCGCCGCTCTCGTTCTCGTCGACGCCCCCCTACGTGACCCAGTCGCCTGCCGCTGCCGCCCGCTATAAGCGTCAGTCCGTCCTCCTGCAAACCCGCGCCATCTCGCTTTTCAACACCGCCTGGCGCGCTAGTCATGGCGTCTTCGACCGCTCCAACTGCGTGCCCATGCTTCTCTTCTCGTCCATCCTAGGCCACCACCTGTTTGCCGACTCCCTCGCCAGCCGCCACAACTCTCTGGACAAATTTCTCGAGGACTATGTTCAGTGCGCCCAGCTACAGCAGGGTGTTTCCGCCATTGCCATGACCACCTGGCCGCTCTTGCTACAGTCTGAATTTGCGCCCATCCTGCAGTGGAGTGCTCGCTTCACAAGCCGCAAGGGCCGTGGAAACGACTGCGCGCAGCTGCTGACACTCGTCAACAGAGCCCCCGAAGACCAGCTCAGCGCGTCCGCAAAGAATGCTTGCCACTTGGCAATCCGGTTACTCCAGGTTGGCTTCGACGTGCTGTACCTACCGGCACCCAAGAGCCCAAAAACCTCATCCACACACACTACCAGCGAAAACGGCAGTGCCGATGCCGACACCATGGATGTAGATGATACGGCAGAACGTCCGGTCGGCAAAGGTGCCGAAAATGCCGACAGTCACGACGACGATGATGAAGAAGAATCGGATGAAGACAAGAACGAGCACTTATACCGCCACAAAATGATTTTGCTTTGGGCGCTGCTTATGCCCAAGGAATTTTCCGACCTGCTGGCGGCCAAGAACCCCGAGTCCCTCGTCATCTTGGCCTACTACGCTTGTCTTCTCAATCACGGCCGCCACCTGTGGCAGGTTGGTGACGCTGGTGAGTACATTATGGGCCTCATCAACGACTATATGGACCCCGTCTGGGACGAGTGGCTAGAGGAGCCAAGGCGCCGCTTGGCAACGGATGTTGTGCAAAGGCCGACGCCGTGAATCAGAGAGTAATCCCTAGTTTTGTGCCTTAATATATGCTTATAGAATATGATTAAAACATTTCCCCCCCCCCATAGCATACCGAAATGTTCACTAATCTCTGGTTGACTTCACTCTGCACCGTCTTTCCTGCATGTTAAAGGTTAGATTAGTGGCGTGAGGCCTCGTTAATTTACGGCACCCTTTGAGATTTATATATTGAACTAAGACGGTAAGGTTTTAACTTAATAGGCAAGATGGCCGAGTTGGTTATGGCGTAGGATTAAGGTTCCTATGGAGCAATCCGCGTGGGTTCAAGTCCCACTCTTGTCATTGTTTTTTTTTTCTTTTCGATTAGCGTTTATAATAACTTTTTTTTGGTTTTATTTCTGTTCTATTTTTTAATTTTTATTTTCTTGAAAAAAAGAGGAAGTTTAAGGAATCCAATCTTTAATCGATATCTCTAAAGTAAAACGTAGATTTTTAAAAGACTAAAAAAATTAATGACAAGAGTGGGACTTGAACCCACGCGGATTGCTCCATAGGAACCTTAATCCTACGCCATAACCAACTCGGCCATCTTGCCTCGATCTTTGCTGGGAACGCCAAGTATCACGAGTTATACGGACAACAAGGTATGTCAGCTATCATTGCCGATATGACCAAGAAGACGATGGCAAAGACGAGAGCCACTGCTCGTATATCCTCAAGCTGCTGTATTTTCGATTATCTTCGATATGTGTGACTCCCAGGCATCCACTGTTGCCTAGCGAGAGGCATCGCATGCTTGCCGCCAATACCACCGTAAAGCCCTCAGTGCGACATACAGAAAGGTCTCTTGGCGCCCACGAGTCTTGACGACAGGGGGGTGGCGGCGTGAAGAAAACGAAAGCATAACGAGCAAAGACCTGCTATGCACCTGGCAATGCCTGAAGGCACTCAACCAGATTTTGCGTTATGGCAAGGACGTGAACCATACAGGCTTTTGCCGATTAGGCTCCGAGAAGCCGATGCGACAGCTCTCGGGTAGGTGCTGCCTTGCACATAAAGTGAGCTTCTCTAAGACTCCAGTGGAAGGCTGTCGGCCGCCGTTTATCCCCCAACATACATTCCCATTCTTCGCTCTCGTACTTTTTCGTTGGACAGTTCAGCCGCGCAAAATGCCGCCCAAGACCGAAAGCGAGATGGCCGAGCGCCGTACGCGCTACCTGGAGGCGGTCCCCGAGGACCGTGACAACCAGGTCGCCAAGCTCCTCCAGACCTACAGTCACATCCCCGCCGACCAAGTTACGCCGCATCTCCACGCCATACGCGACCGTGCATGGGCCGTATTTCCGTATACGTGCATCGGTTCCTGGCGTTTCCTGGACCTCTACTTCACCAAGTTGCCTGTGTATGCATCCGTCGTGGAGCGGCTCCGGGACGGTGGCGACCGCTTGCTCGATGCAGGCTGCTGTTTTGGTTACATGCTGCGCCAGCTGGCGGCCGACGGTGCCCCGACGGCCAACCTCGTCGGCTCGGACCTCGAGCAGCTGTTTATCGATCTCGGGTTCGATCTGTTCCGTGACCGCGACACATTCAAAGGCACCTTCGTCGCGGCCGACATGCTTGAGGATGATGAGGCAGGCGCAGGCCAAAAGGAGCTAGCCGCCCTTGACGGCACTCTTGACATGGTCCACGCCGCCAGCTTCTTCCACATGTTCAGCTGGGAGGACCAGGTACGACTGGGCGAGCGCGTGGTGCGCTTCTTCCGGCCTGCGGACAAGACCAAGGCGACCAACTCGGGTCGTCCACGGCTGTTGTTTGGGCGACAGGTCGGCAACATTGCGCCCGTCGACCGTGCTACACTGGCAGCGCGCGGCGAGTACAGGTTCCACCACAACCCGGCGACGCTACAGCAGCTGTGGGACGAGATCGGCGAGCGCACCAAGACCAAGTGGCGTGTGGAGGCGGAACTTGTTCCGGAGGCGCGGCCTGAGAAGCGGCAGCCGGCGACGGATGGGGCCAAGAAAAAGGAGGACCACTACATGATCCGTTTTGCCATTTACCAGGAGGAATACTAAGTGGTAGGGGAGGAGAGCAGGTGCGTTGAACGGACGGAGAGGGCTCGCAGAAGCTCGTACAGGGCTCAAAACGAGACAGAAATTTGTGCACAGTGTTAAAGTACCACTTACCGGTTTCTCAACCCTCCACAGAGCCCAGCTGTAAAAATCGTTCAGGAGTTTGCAATAAAACAAAAAGAAAAGATAAAAACGTATCGATAACTGGCAATCGATGGAGCACAGATTGAGAGGTGCAACACTTTGCGACGCAAAACACGGCCAAGCTGGGTCTGACCACACGTTGAAACTTGGCAGTCTCGGCACGTCCGTCGTGAAACCATCCAACCCTATCTCTGCTTCCATCCTGCGATGATTGAAAAGGTCAATTCTTTCTGGGTATTTCTTTTTCCAAAACCTTTACCAAGTACGGTGGTTCCGAACACAGCCGTTTCATCAACTGCGAAACAAAGACCTGTAGCCCTCCGACAGTGGCAATTGCGCTGTACTTGGGAAGTTTAGTATACCCCTTACCCACAGACGTCCAACTCCAAAGTGCTTACGAGCCATGATCATGAACCACTCGCCCAATCATCTGATATCAGTGGCCGATGCCTCGTCCCATCTTTCTTCGCAGGACAATCTTGTCTACTGTTGCTTGAGTTGATTAATAGAAGTCGCCACGCTGGTTTGTCTCAGTGCGGTACGTCGCTGGGCGTAAGGAAAGCATAGTCTGACAGTTTGTAAGAGAGACCAAGAGCGACACAAGGCCAAGTAAATAAATAAAGTAGCCAAGAGAGCGACAAGAGTCGAATTTGTGGGGACGGAACAAGAAGACACAGAGTTTCCTAAGACGGCAAGATGCCCCCTTAGACTGCTCTTGCCATTCGCGTGCCTACCCTTGTTGGGGCTTTCGGTTTTGGACTTTTCCTTCTCCCAACTTTATAAAGTAAAACAAAAGCAAAAGAGACTGAGGAGTCCAACAATGATGCCCGAGATAAGAACAAAAACAGGAGCAGGCCTTCGGCCACTTTGGCTGTTGCTACTTCTCGCGACCGCACATCCGGGCGACACAGTTGATACACCGGCAGCTGGCTTTCGATATGATCACCATGTGGACCCTTTGCTGGCTTTCTGTCCACGATTGGTACTGAATCAAAGCGGCCTCGTCACACCAGTTGACACCTCTGTGTGTCTCACGCCGTCACTGCCGGTGTCTTCGCCACCTTCATCATCCACGTCGTCCTCGTCATGTGCGTCATCTGCAGCATCCAGGTCTACAGAGTCGACACCGCTATTGAACAACAGCCGTGCACTCCGACAGGAGACGAACAAAGAGGAACAACCCCAGGACGGTCAGTCTCAATATCACCAGACTGGCCAAATTGACCAGATTCCTGCAGCTCTCGGTCATGACGGCGGTACCACACAGGCCGCTGGCTTGGTGGTTCCAGCGCCGTGGGTCAGAGGCAACTGCCGACGGGGCAATCTACCAGAGAAGCAAATGGCCAAAGACACAATAACAGGAGAAGACGATGCCGAGTACTGCGTCTACACACACCCATCGTTTAACCATGGAATGGGTCTCTCGGTCATCACCACCGCGAGCAGGCTCGGCGCCATGGCCACTCGGCCTGTGTTTGGGGGACGCGGAGAAACGCTTCCTGCAAGCAAGGGGCCGCCGCCCAACGGCGCAGACTGGCCACCCGACGGCGATTCTGTCACTGTGCCCGCCTGGAGTGAGAAGAACGTGCCAGGCAAGGACGTAGGCCTCGTGGCCACCCGGGCCATCCGCCGTGGCGAACGTATCATGGCACGTACGCCTGCTGTCATGATTGACGGAGCCGCGATAGATGCACTGCCAGTCGCTCCATTTGCAAGTCTACTTCAGGGTGCCGCCTCTGGCCTTCCAGAACCGCATCGCGCGCAGTTCTTCAACCTGTCTACGAACTCCGGCTTCGATGTGCAAGACGCAAACGAGAACGAGGCCTACCAGATCTTTGTGACCAATGCATTTCGAACGGGCATTGCCGACGGCGAGCCGGATCTGCACACTGTGTTCCGTGATGGTAAATGTCACTCTTTGTTTCTTCTGTTTGACCTTGTTCGTCGCACAGCACACAATGACTAACACAGCATACAACGGCACAGTGTCGCGCCTCAATCACGCGTGCCAGCCCAACTGTGCCTACTTCTTCGACCCGGTTACTCTGTCACACAGCGTTTATGCTGTCGTCGACATCATGCAGGGCGAGGAGCTGACCGTCGCCTACATCGATCCGATACAGGTGCGGGCCGACCGTCAGACCAAACTTCACCGCCATTGGGGATTCGGCTGCACATGTGCGAGATGTACGTTGCCGCCGCACCGCTTGGCCGAGTCCGACGACCGCGTCCGCTCTATCCAGACTCTATTGACTTCCCTGGACAACTACAGTTTACTGATGCCGGATGGTGTGAGCGCCAACGTCGCCAACGTGACGGTGGGCCCGTCGGCCGGCGAGCTGCTGGTTCTATTGTTTGAGCTTGAGGGTCTACATGGCCGCATGCACGAAGCCGAGTACCGTTTGGCCCTCGAATGGAACGGTGTCGGCGATGCCCTGCGCGCCACGCAAGCTGCTCGCCGCTGCCTCGACCATGGTCTGCTGGTGCGCGGGGCCAAACAGGTCTTTTTGACCAACATGCGGGATCTGGTCACCGACCCGACTGCCCATTGGAGCTGGAAATTTCGACTGGGAAAGGAAGCCGCTACAAAAGAGGAGGAGTAGGGGGGAAGAAAAAGAGAAAAGGACGTCAATGAACGGGAGACGGCAACAAGGACGCAATGGTATGGGTTTGCTCGAGAGAAGCGAGACCATATATTGTGACGTTGCTCGACTTGAACACGAGGTTGGCCAGGATGTGCCTCAAATCACACTCCCCATGCGTACAATTCTGGCTCAAAAATGTGGCCGAAATTTTGTCTCGCGTTATCTTCTGTCTCGGTTTATCTTCCAATTTGTATCTTACAAACAGTGTTGGGTGGCTCCCTCTGCGTTTGTGGCTGTGGTTTCAGTGTTGCCAATTCCATATGTGCATATCTCGGTTCGAGTCTTTCGTACAAATACATACGGTTTTATTCTGATTCTACTTTGTTTCTCTTCCTGAAAATTCTCACCTTAAAGCTTCTGTATTTTATAATTTTGCGCCAGTTAGTTTTGATTCTCCATCTTCTTCTCCTCGACTTCCTTTGCCTCTGCTCAATTTTAGTATTGTGACACAAGTTGATCCATGAATACTTTGTCAAAAAGAGCACACAAACTAATCTAGGTGACGGAAAAGCGTCTCCAGCAGCGCAATGAACACAGGAAAAGGATCAAGGAACACCAGGAGCCCTGGTGACACAATGACAAGGCATAATAGGGCACAATATTGGCATTTGAACACACAAACACAAACGAGGCGCGTTACCTCTCTCTGGTGGTGCCAAATTTCGGTAGTCTGCATGTCTTTGTTTATGCTGCTCTTGTCCTGCCCTCTTTCTACTCTGATTCTCTGCTGCATCTCTTTTCTGTGCCAGATGACGAGTCGAGCGCGACTTGTCACCAAATTACAAGGCGCTTTCCAGTGGCTGGTCCGCTACAGGGAAGGGCAAGGGCGCCAATATAAAACCAGGTTACAGGCAGACAAAAGCAGGAGTATGTCCGCACCCAGATTACTGGTTTCACAATAAGTGATTCGTGAACGTAGACAAGGTAACCTGCATCTATTCTTGTTTTTCTCCTTGGGAAGCTTGAGATACGGTGGGAGGCACTCCGACGGGTAACAAAATCACTGTGGGGCAGACTGAGAGAAGTTCAAGACAAGGTAAACGTTTCTTTGCAAAGATCAAAGCCCAAAACAGTGGACATTAAAAAAACATGCCCGAACTCTTACAACAGCACGCCAAGGTACAACAACATAAGAGGCACTCACTAAAGCAACCATTCTCTCTCTCTTTTTATGTCCTCTTCGTTGCGTCTTTATTTGGTCACAGATTCTGTCCCTGGATCGTCATTTGATCCGTCTTTCCCTGACTGTTCTACCGTCTCTGTGGTTACCTATACACAGTGACCACTTGTGCCTACCGTCCCTCTCCTAGCTGATATATAAAGAGGGTGAGCCCAGCATCTTACAAGCGAGAGAGCTTACCTTTCTTGTCCTTCACCACCTCTTCCAAGTCGCTCTTTTACTTTCGCCGCTTCTCCTTGTCCTTCTCTATATCCAACATGCTTCTCCCTTCCGCCACTCGCTGAAGTTCGTTCACTCTACACTCTCATATCCGTGCTTGCACATAATTTTTAATTATAATTCCCAGTGGAGAGTCACCTAAAGAATATACATATATATATATATATATATCAACACCAAAACTGTCAAAGCCATGAAATCTGTTCTCATGATGGCCCTGGGCCTGATGGCCATAACAGTCAATGGCCAGTCGTATGCCTACTCGGAGACGTAAGTTTTACTCTCTCGACGTACTGTACTTGTCGGATTCAGCCACTCACATTCGTTTAGCTCCCAGTACGGCGTCCAGCCTACGCCTCCATCGTCGACTTCGGCCGCCGGCCCGACCCTGACAAGCAGCTACAGTTACACGGCCCACCCCTACCCGACAGTTCTGCCGTCTACTTTGCCCCCGTTGTCATCGGTTACCTACTCTGAGACGCAGTCGGTGCGGCCGGTGCAGTCTACCTTGGAGTCCCACCAGACGTCGTCATCCACATATCTGCCGCCGCCGCCGACGTCCTCAACGACCTCTAAGTCGTTGACCTCATCCTCTGTGTGGCAGCCCCCTCCGTATGGCTCCGTCGGCACGTCTGCACTTTCGTCGGTGCCTGGTTCGGTGTCTTCGTCGGCCCAGGCCACTTACGGCACCAGCCCGCCGCCTGTGTACTCCACCAATTGTGTGCATTCGTCGTACGCCTGGAACACTACTACCGCGGCTAGAAGTGTTGCCAGTAGCGTCACAGGCAGCACCACCACCACAACGGACTGCCCGCCGACCTCTGTCACCTCGACGGGGAGTATCATTGACAACACGACACTGCCTCCCTATGGCGGCAGTGGCGGTGGCAACAGAAACGGCGATGGTGCCGAAACATCGTCTTCCAGCCCCGTATTCTCCGGTCAGGCCACAGGCGCCAACCGCAGCTCTGCCATGGCGATCCTACTCATGGCCCTGGCCTATGGTGCTTCTTTCTTGATGTGAGGGAAGGAGAGTTGTGAGTATGGACGGAGGAAGGGTTTCAACTCAGCAAGGTTTCTGATATGGACTTCATAGTCCGTTTTGGTCTTTTTCTCTTCTGTCCCGTTCGTCTTCGCTCTTTTTGCGTCCCTGCAGTTTTCACTCCCTCCTATTCAAAATTCAAAACCCCGAACTCTCTGTCTCTTTGTCCAATAGCGGTAGTTATCACAAAGAATTAACAATGCAGTAATACTGTACTACAGGTGTTCAACTTAATGGCGTTTGTTATCCGTTGAAATGTAGTTAACAAGATGCAAGCTACGTTCGTAGAACAGGAGTGTATGGTCGCGACGTGATCTTGAAGACAGGAGGTCAAGTGGGAGTAAATAACTGGCTTTGTACCTGTACACCGAAATAGTGAGTAGTAGTACTTCACGGTGCCCAACCAATCTAAATCGGTCCTCCAAATCGCGTCTTCAGTCGCGTCTTTTTGCAAGTCACCTGTCTAACCGACGACGTCTCAATTGACAGTATCGCCCGACCTCATCACAACACGCAACAAGGCCAGGCGATGTAGTCCTTCAGCCATGCAGTCATCCAAACGTGAAGTTTTTGACTCGGACGACGACGGCGACAACCTGAGCCCACTAAGTATTCCGCTGGCTAGTCCGCAGTTGTCACCGCGTCCTTTTTTGCCGTTTGCGACAACGGTGACAACGGCGACGGCCGCAACGCCAAATTTGCCGGATACGAGCACCTCGACAGACCCCTCCTTCTTTCGCGATGTCTACGAGGAGCAGCAGCGGGCTATCGGAGCGCAATTGGCGCCACAGCACGCCGATCTTGGCGACAACCACAGTCGTGGCTCCACTGTGAGCGTGTCTGTTGACAAAGGTGGCCGTGATCCTTGGGCGGTGCCCAGCAGCCCGATCGAAGTCGCCGGTCAGCAGCGCGGATCCTACCTGAAGCGGAAACGGGAAGAGGGTGACCGACGACAACAACAACCACATCAACAGGCCAAGAGGCAAAAGAATGTCTCGGTTGTCGTGCAGCTCGACGACCTCAGCAGCGGCCACGCGTCGGAGGCGGCAAAGACCAAGAAGCAGAAGACGGCAGACGAGACTAATATCGAAGGCAACACAGTCGTCGAGACCATTTCCATTCCCCTCGAGCCCTTGACTCCAAGCCGCTTGCACCAGTATCCACGACTGCTCAGCAGCAGCATCGACGACGACGCCCTCGCCGCGGCACACGACCCATCTTTGCCGAGGCAGCATGGCCTCGACCTTGGTCTGGAGACTGCGGGTCCTGCTGTTGGGGCTGCGACTCACAAAGACCCCTGTGAGAATCGTTTGCCACAGCCCGAGGACGGCACACAAAGTACGATTGCATTCACGACACCGAGCCTGTATAATTCCTCGGGGCGGCGTGTTCCCGGTAGCAGCAATAATATTACCGGCAACTCCATCTTGAGGCAGATTAAAAGCAGCATGGGTCATGATGGGGATGTTGTCCTAGAGGAGGTTGCAGCAGTCGCCACACAAAATGCAACGCCGTTGAGGCGGGCCCGCAGAACAGCCGATCTGGCGCAGGTATGGTTTTTTTTCCCTCTTCAGATCCAAAGATTGCTCTTTTGGCTAACGAATTACCTGTACCAGATCATGTCTTCTCCCGATATTATTGCAGAACAAGGCGTACGAGAGCCACGACAACGCAACAGCCCGTTACTTCAAGAGGACGACGAACGCGAGGATGACGAAGAAGGTGGTGTTGATTGGGGGGAACCAAATGCACAAAATACGACAAATTCAATACGGGGGCAGCCAATGCAGCCGCAAAGCTCTGTTGCGGACGAGCTGTCTATTAGCCTTGATGTTCCTGCACAGAGCGAGGCTGTTCATGAGTTCGATGCGTCGTACGACTCGTTAAAGGAGATGAGACTCGTGAAAACGAAGACAAAGAAAAAGAGCCCCAAAAAGAAGCCTCTCAAGAAAAAGGCCGTTTTTATTGCGGCATCGGACGATGAAGACGAAGACGTCGTTGTGACCCCGCCACCAGCCGACAGTGAAAACGACTTCTCTGACGGCCATGTCAAGAGCAAAGCACCAGGAAAGCGCAAAAGAGGACCTAAGAAAAGAATGGAAAAGGCGTCGGTTGAGCGGCAAGTGGAACCCGTTCAACCAAAGCCCAACAGCACCAAACGGCCACGAGGTCGACCAAAACGGCAAAAGGCGCCCCTGCCAGAAGAGGAGACCGACGAGGACATTCTGGTCCAGAGCATTGTGGAGGACGAGATGGCCTACGAGTCCGAACAGCCCCAGACGGACGCAAACATGGCCGCGCCGGACTCGGAATCCGACGGCGAAGCCGACCTGGAACCACCTACACCTGTCAAGGCAAAAGGCAAAAAGGGGAAGGCAGGCAAAAAAGCTGTCGCAAAGGACAAAAAGGAGAGCAAGGCCGGCCGAGGACGCAGGGCCGCAAGGGTGGACGTTCAGCACACAATCAGCCAAGAGGCAGTGGACGAAAAGCCGGTTCTTGGTCAGACCAGTGGCAACACGTCCGCGACCAGCTCTGTGAAGGCAGAGGCGGTCGATGCAGGGGGCGACCTAAAAGATCAAAAGACAGCGGTTGCTGTCAAAGAGGAGGAGCCACCTCTTCGAAATACGCCTGCACCGGAGCGGGGATTGCTCAGCACTGGGCTCAACACCACTGCCAGCCAGGGGCGAGTGCCGTACCGAGTTGGCCTCAGCAAGAAGTTTAGGATTGCGCCGCTCCTCAAGATGATACGAAAGTGATGTGACTGTTTGGAACCAGATCCGAGTGGGCATTTTTGGGAAACAATCGGGGCAGGAGAGAACGACGGCGTTTTTACAAATATGGCAGTGTTTTACCGGGGGTTGCATGCTGTTACACGATCTTATACCATATCCTTTTTTGTTTTCTCTTCTTGCCTTCTATTCAAGATACTTTGGAATCGGCGGTTCTTTTCCATTTCCAGAAATCCAGCGGGTTCTGTTATGCTTAACCTAGCGCTCCCAACATTGGACTGCGACCGAGACCATTTTTATTTACAACAATCCCTAAACACCTTTCCCATGCGTTCGGTTGTTGTTGCTTCCATGGCGCGTCGTCATCCTTTGTCTCTATGTGACGTTGCCCCTTGAAAGGGAAGGGGGCAAATAAAACAATCAAAATACGCAAAGGACTGTAAACTCGGCTTCTAGTACAACTCGGAATATCGGCGCCGGCTAAGATCGTGCCCCTGTTCCGTCCAATGTACGACATATATGTTTGCGTAATACCGTTCTGGGCGCAGCGGTCTTGTTTCGTTTCTTCTTAATGGCGTGCATATGCCCAAGCCGCCTTGGAGGAGCATTGGAAAGCAAGACAGCAGTGTTATAAACCAAATAATAATTTCTGCTAAAGAATGGGGGTACTATTCCTTCAATATGGTTAAAGAACGCTTCGACACAATATGCATAGAAGTGAGGCACAATTGTCATCCGAGAACAGGATCCAGCCGTCGGTTAAAAAATACCAAAAAAAACCATTAGTGAGAAGGATGCTAGGTGACAAAACAACAAAAGAAGATCCAAAGCGTACTGAATTAATTAGCTTTGGAATAAAAGTAGCTCGACTCCGAATAGCCACCTGTACTTCCCCTGCATTTCAATTTATCTCAGCGATCTCGTACTCACATCTGCCGGTAACTGGCAGACTCACTTAGTTTCCTTCTCACTCGGCATGGGGAAATCATTTTCTACTCTCTACACAGCTGGTATTCCTCGCCCCTTACGAGTTCCGCAGGGATGATCCACTGGTACAGAAGTGGAAGCGGAAGAACACATAACTCTCCAGTATCGCGCCCTCTGTTTTGAGAGGACATAGTAATCGTACCTTTGACAGGACCTTGGGCAATTGAGTCGGCCCCCGCATAGTCTCTTCGTCCCGTTTCCTTGATAGAACGCAAAGATACCTTACGTTTTGTTCTGTCTGGGTGTTCACCTCGCCTAAACCTTTCACATCTTGTTTTGCTTTCATCCGAAGTATATTTCCCCGGTAGAAATTGGCGCCTAGGAAAGTTATATTGACAGAGAAGACAAACTGTGGGAAAACGAGAGGACAAATATAGTTTGGGCAGAACCATCCAGTCAATGCGTATATATACGATTTCCCTCGCGTCTGTCTGTCGCAAGAGAACTGCAGTCGAGTCTCTTTGCATCCTGTCGCCTCGTACTCATTTCTGTTTCTTGACCAACCGTACTGCTCTAGCCCCCTTCTTTGCTATCTTGACAACCCTCACGATGCTCTTCAAGTCCGTCTTCTGCGTGGCTGCGGCTGCCACATCGGCCATGGCCGCGCCAACTGTCCTGGACCGGGCGGTCTGCACGGCCAACAAGCCCATTGACACATTTGCCAGCTGGGCCAACAATACAAACAGCCTCGGTTCTGTCAGCGGTGGTACGTTGTCCTTTCTCCTTGTATTGAATCTTCTCCTTGCTTGTCTCTAACGAACAGACGACAAAACGATGGGCTCCATCTCCGTCAGCGGCACCACGCTGTCTCTCACGACCAAGACCACCTCCTACTTTTACGAGAACCTGCCATGCGTGGACCTCGCTGCAGCCAGCAGTGGCTTCACGGACCTCAGCTTCAAGCTGAGCGGCCCCGCGCAGTCGTCCTTCTTGCTCGAGATCCAGACCAAGGCCAACTGCAACGCCACCGCTCACTCCAGCGTCTTCCACAATGTGACGGTCCCTGCTGGCACGGCCCTTAGCCAGGTCACGGTCCCGCTGTCCGACTTCACAGGCGCCAACCTGGCCGTTGCGACGTCGCTGACGTTTTCGACCTTCAACAAGACCGGCGACTACAAGCTGAGCGACTTGCAGCTGGTGTGCAAAAAATAGATGGTACGCGGCAGCAACTGGCGCGTGATATGAGATCGACGCATTGTTCGTTGTACATGTTGATAAGAAAAAACAAATCTTTTGCGATGAAACCAAAAGTATAGAATATGTTTGATTGTATATATTTATTTTGATACTTTTAACTTAGCTAGCGATGTCGCCGTACCAAGAATGGCGCTTGCTTTAAATGCGCTTCGATAAAATGCAAGAGGGCAATACAATAGAGGAGACGATCTTTAAAAACAAAATCAAAAAGGTGAATGCCAACATGATTGCAACATGTCTTCACTCCATGACGAAGTGTTGTCAGCTCCTTCCTTCCCAGATATTTTCGTCAGTTCCGTTTCTGATTCTTTTTCCACCGATGGTCTACATGTGCACTTTCCTATTCTAGTCAGGTGTATTTCCTACTTGCCTGGGTTGGCCCTGCAGCCACTAGAGTCGTGTTGTTCGGCTGCCTAACAGATTGTGAAACTACCTCCAGCGAGACCGACTTTGTCCACCACAGTTACAAAAATCTTCAACACTTTTTGTCGAAACGACCGCGTTTGATTACGTCGACATTTCTGAACCGAAATCAATTCGGCTCCTAAAGTTGTTAGGGCACACTCGGCGCAAGTAGCAATTGCAGCCTCCGTCAGGTCTTTCGTCTCCAGAACGGGCGCCAGATTCTTCAGGCCCACAAGTCGTCGTCACATACAAAAGACGGCACCATGGCTACCAAGAATCCTGCACCGGCCGGCAGTGTGCCATTCTCTGTTTTTGTGTCTCGGCCGAGCACCGAGGCTTACGAAGTGCGCTTCTCTCCGCAGGACCAGCCGCGGGCGGCCGAGATCGACCCGACGTTTCTGGATGCTATGAAGGTGCGGCACAATGTCTTCATTATGGAGCAGAAGGTGCCGCTCGAGAGTGAGCTCGACGAGGACGACATGCGATCGGTCCACTGGGTCGCCTACATGAGCGACGGCGGTGACAACACCTCGCAGCAAGCCGTCGGCACCATCCGCGTCGTGCCCTATCCACAGCCTCCGCACCCGATGCCGGGCGGCGCATATTCCATCATTGACGGCGCTGTTGTGCTCAAGGGCCGGTGGGTGCGCAAGTCAGAGCAGTGGTTGGATAGCAAGGACGCCGCCGCCGCCGCCGCCGCACCTCCTTTGCACACCATGCCGCGGTCGCAACTCGAGTATCTGCCAGCCACTGAGGCCGACTTAGCGGCCGAAATTGAGGCGGCCATCGGCCCAGACCGGGCCACATCCCTGCACGACGGCAAGGAGCCCTACGTCAAGCTGGGCCGCATCGCCGTCCTATCCTCCTTTAGGGGCTTCCACCTTGGACAGTATCTCGTGCAGACGGCGCTGGACTGGATCCAGGAGAACCCGACGTACTTTGACAAGGTCGACCCAATGGCTGCGGCGGCGACCACTGAGACCAAGTTCAATGGGCTTGTGTGTTTGCACGCGCAGGTTCATGCCCTGGGTTTCTACCAGCGGCTCGGGTTTGTCGTTGACGAGGGCATGGGTACATGGTGGGAAGAGGGCATTCCGCATGTGGGGATGTTCCGCCGGCTGGAGCTGTCTAAGAAGGCTTTGTAAACATAGACGGCTGCCGGTGACGATGGATGATTCATGACATAGATCTAGACAAAGGTGTGCGTTTAGTATTTACAGATGCTATTGCAGAAAACAGGTTTACAGCCCGACGATGGTACACGGAGGCGTTTATTAAAATTTCTTGAATTTTTTTTCCATTTTCCCTTTTTTGGTTCTTGTGTTCTTGTTTCTGCCGTTGTGTTTCTCACAAAACTCCCAGTTTTGGTTTTTTGCGTTTGAAATGAAAATGGAATATCCCCCATAAATACACGGCAAATAGAAAAAGACAAAATAATGTGGCCACGAAAACGACTTCCAGGACAAAGTTGCATATCTTGTCTGTCTCGTTACACTCGTTTCGGAGGGAGACGGACATGTACGACAAACTTTGCGTTCTTGAGCCCGCTTTCCCGTTTTCCGCAACTTCCACGTCGTCCCCTAGCCCCTGGTGTCATGCCCTCTCAAAGTCGCCCGCAGAACACTTGCCTTCTAAAACGCGTTACTGTGCTCGCGGATTGGAAAACACATTCGACACCAAGCACCAACACCAACAAAATAGAAGTATGATGCAAAAAAGACAAACTGGCAAACTAAGTGATTGGAAAATAAACACCCCTTTACCGGTTGCTTTTGGCGACACGCTCCAGCTCGTCCTTCTTCTTGATGGCGTACGAGTTGCTGCTGCCCTTGGCGGCGTTGATCAGCTCCTCAGCCAGGCACTCAGCAATGGACTTGACGTTGCGGAACGAGGCCTCGCGGGCACCGGTGGTCAGAAGGGCAATGGCCTGGTTGACACGGCGCAGGGGCGAGACATCGACGGCCTGTCTCCGGACGGTACCGGCCGAGCCGATACGGGTGGAGTCTTCGCGGGGACCGCAGTTGACAATGGCGTCAACGGCAATCTGGATGGGGTTCTGGTCGGTCATCAGGTGGATCTAGTGTTGTTAGCGACTGACCGCCTTGTTTACACATGTGTCGAACAATTGGGTAACGGCTTGGCACGTGGGACTCACGATCTCGAAAGCGTGGGCAACAATGCGGACAGCCATCAGCTTCTTGCCGTTGTTGCGGCCGTGCATCATCAGAGAGTTGGTCAGGCGCTCAATGATGGGGCAGTTAGCCTTGCGGAAGCGCTTGACAGCGAAACGGCCAGAGGAGTGAGGGATGTAGACCGGCGAGCGGATCTGGATGTAGTCCCTGTTGAGCGGGTTAGTATGCTTGACGTGAAGTCGGGGATGCCTTGTTCTGCCATGCGCGTGATCGTTCGATGTCGTTCGCCATAAAAGAAAGTTCTGTTGTGCCCTCGTGTGCCTCGTGTTCTATGTTTGCCATGTTCTGTTTGTGGCGCTCGTCGAGGCCTTCCGACCAGCGTCTCATGTTTTTCGTCTCCTCCACGGTCGCATGTTGTCTCATTATAGCAATCCCAGAGCAGTCCCGAAACCTTCTTCGCATCGTCGTCTCGATCGTTCGGTGGTCGCGCATGGCCGAAAGGTAAACCAGGAACTTACGTGAGGGAGATGTCACGGATCTCGACATCATCGTAGCTCCACTTATTGCTGTAGAGAAAAACACAGTCAGCAAGCAATTCATCTTGGTGTTCACCATTTCGTCCCGAATTCTCAATCACGGTAACAAGGCAAGCCGAGAGCGGTTATGTTCGGAAGTGGGAAAGGGCCCGTACAAGAGCTTGACGGTACCGATCTCGTTCGTCACCTCCTTGGGGAGGATGTTGTACGAGACGGTCTCGACCTCGATCTCGGCGTCAGACATGTTGGGCGGCGGTTGTCTTGTTCTGAAAGAAGGACACAAATTCAACGACTAAGAAAAAAAAGCTGCGGGATGCTCTTTTTTTCTGTTGGCGGCACCGGTGGTGATGGGTCGGGTTTTGTCGATGTAGAGGACGGTGGTGATTTTTGAGAAGCGTTACCAAAATTTTGGCCCTGGTGGATTTTCTCTTTCGGTCACTAAGAATTTTTCCCACACAGAGTCCAAACAGAGGCGTAGTGGAGGTTAGACAGGAATATGGGAAAGAAAGGACTGGGTCTTAGGGCGAGGTCCCCTCACTGAACTGGAAAGTTAGCGTCTTTTGGAAGAGCCAAAAAAGAAAATGACCAAAAATTCTGTAGAGATGAGAGGACGGCAGGGCTTTGAAATATCCGCACGTGATCCACTTCAGATTAACGCGTACGTGCAGGTCCAATCATGGTGGATAGAATTAGGGCTCGAAATGGATGACATAATGCACGTGCGGCGCTGGGAAAAATACTGCCCGCCCCCGCCGAGAAAGGAAAGAACTGGGCCTTTTATTTTTTCCATCCAACCAGAATTTGGAACACCAAAAAACTAATTATTGTTTGGGTGGGAAAAGAAAAGCGCTCTCGCCTTTTGACCTCCCTCTCCCTCTTTCACTTTCGTCTTTGTGCGATCACCAAGTTCAACTCCATCACATCAACGAAAATCAGCAAACATGGCACCCGCAGCTGGAGCGAAGAAGCAGAAGAAGAAGTGGTCCAAGGGCAAGGGTATGTTAATCGAAACGAAATGGCGACGAAAATAAGAACGCGCCGCCTGCCGAAGAAGACGAGACGAGGACGTCGACAATCGCGAAGGGTGTTTCCATCTCCCAACACGAAGCAAAGAACGACAAGACGATCAGGCCACTGCTTGTGAAACGACATCTTTCGGGGTAGCGGCCGGGACGTCTTCCAGTTTTTGACATTTGACGGGAGCGGGGGACACCCCAAGAGATGCGCCGAACCGGCCGTTCTAGTCATCGATTTGAGCAGGCGGCGCTTGCCTCGGAACTGCGATACTCGACGAACATCTGCTAACAACCGCACAGTCAAGGACAAGGCCCAGCACGCCGTCATCCTGGACAAGCCGACCTCGGAGAAGCTCTACAAGGATGTCCAGTCCTACCGCCTCGTGACGGTCGCCGTCCTGGTCGACAGACTTAAGATCAACGGCTCTCTGGCACGGAAGTGCCTCGCTGATCTGGAGGAGAAGGGCCAGATCAAGCAGGTTGTAGGCCACAGCAAGATGAAGATCTTCAGTATGTTTCGATACACAATTGTGATACTTTTTCTTTTATGTAATATACCGTGTCTAACACCTTCCAGCCCGCGCCGTCGGCGGCACCGATTAAACGAATTCCAACCTACCACGATGATACTACCAGACAAACCCATTTGCTTTGGCGGAGTTGTGTGATGAAAAGAAAAACATATTTGGGACTTCGGGACACTGGGATTTTTTTTATACTACGAAATGCCGTTCTATTTCCACTTGTTATGACTTCATAGGCAAGAGGGATTAGAAACGACGATCGGCCGACACGGCCGACGAACACAAAACCCGGTCGCTGCAGCACTTCATACCTTGAGATGGAAAATAGGAGGCATGCACCCCGCTGTTGACATGAGCATCGGGTGTCGTTGTATGTACTCAACCAACAATAAAAGTAGGAGGAGCCGTCACGAGAAAACCAATCGTACGATGGGGCTCTAGATCCAATGAAAGAAACAAAAACAAGAAAACCAAACCCAACAACAAGCGGGTGTTTATGTGCTAAAATGCAGTGCTCTATTGCGTTTGTATTTGTATACTTGCGATCTGTATATTGTGTATTCACTTGTACCATGGGATGTATGTGAGCAATCGTGTTATTGTGTACTTGGAGCGTATGAAAAAGTATATCCAGATTCTCTTTCATCTTCAGAGTGTATGACATATCGTTTGAGCGACATGGAGATTTATATTGCTTGCTGGCATCTGCTTAGTTGTTTTCATGTGCGGTTGAGAAGTTGCCACATATTTTGCCTGTAATTACGAAGTATATTCGACGTGGTAAACATTCCATGAGGAGCATAGAAAACACTGTGAGCATGGACCCTGCTACCACATGGATGTGGCGCAGGTGAGCAGGCACCGCGTTGGTGGTGATTGTCATTGGCCATGCAAGCCCGGTGTCGCCGAGCGTCTTGATGCCGAAGCCGACCCTGGGGCTATCTAGCAAGATGGACTACAGAGAGCACTGAATGGCAGGCTCGAAAGTACAGGAAGTCATTGCGCGCATATCCTGTTCACAGAACGTTATTACGGTGTCCATATATTTATGCCCGAGTTGGGTTGCTGGTACTGACCGCGCCTCCGCGTAGCCGACCCGTCTTGGTAGTCAGTTGGCAGCACGGCGTGAGATGCACGGGAAAGACAGGGGTTCAATGGGCAGCCTCCAAGCTTCTGCCGTGCCAATCAACAAGGTCACCTATCCACGCAGGCGCTAGCAGTCGCCAGCACCTATCTATGTATGCTCAGAGCATATTTGAATAGGACAATGCCTTCTACGTCTAATTCAGCTTCATACGGCTTTGATTACTGCTTTGTTTCTTCCTCGGACTCTCGCGAAATCTGGAGAACGCCACTGTAATTCTCACAACCCCACCCTCCCCCCGATTTGGTGCCGTATATTTGCTTCATGAAAACAAAAAAGGTCAGTTTTTTCGAGACATAACATACGGCACCACCTCATCGTGATAATAAACTTTAAAACATCGCTTTTATTCCTGGGCAGCGATTGTTTTGGGTGGCCGAAAAGGAAGGGTGGCCATCGGAGCGAACCGGCAAGAGCTGTGCGTTTTAAAGGTCGGAGGTAACGTATCAAAAAGAAGAAAATAGGAAGAAAAGAAAAATTACTGGCAGTGCGCTAAGAGAGGGGTGAACCTGTAACAAGAGAAAGAGCGACACAAGCTACCGTCGCCCCTCGCTCTTTTGCGGCCTGAGAGGCAAGGCCGCAAAGAGCAAAAAAACCCTCGCTGTTCGTTGCCGTAGGTGATCGCGGACAGAAGCTCTTTACACCTCTTGGCTGGGCAGAAGCAAAAGTGGGGCCTCCGTCTGAGACTAGCGCGACCGGCCGGAAAGAATCGCTGAAAAAAACTACACCAGAGAAAGGGGCAGCCGCGTTCTGTGTTTCTGAAGTATTGGCCAGCGCTCCCTGAACGTGCTATGAAAAAAAAAAATTGCGACGCCTGCAAAATTTATACTGGCCTTCGGTGTTTTGCCCGCTTCAGCGAGTGTTCTCTGGAAGCCGTTCAGGTCGTTTCTGGCCAGCTGGTGCTCTGCAGCGGTTGCTCCTTCCCTCCTTGTCCCATAATAAATTTCGCAACCGAGGAATTTTTTTTCCTTTCCTGCGATTCGACTTTTTCCCGCTCTATTTTCTCCCCCCTTCCCTCCTTCCCTTTTTCTTCCTTTCGTTTTTCCTTCCTCCCCCCTTCCCTTCTCCTTCTTCATCCTCGTTTCTTTCTTTTCCTAGGATCGCTTTTCATTGCCATCCTTCTTTCACATCTCCACTCCGTTCGTCAGACTCGTCATTGATCAGTCGCCAAAATGTCTTCCAAGGAGGATATTAAGATCTGGGGCATGCCCGTAAGTTCCACCTCTTGCTGCAGCTTGTGCAATTTTTGCTTGTCGGTCGCTTTGACCGACACTTTGGAGCACATCGCCAGAATTCCCTCACGATCGCGATATCCCATGTTTGCACTCGCAAAACCACTTCCACATTCCCAATCGTGTCTGCAACGCGCTGGACCGATAATTGGGCTTCCTCGTCAATTGTTTTTCTGCGTTCGGTGTTCGTGCGGCGATGCGGCCTGCCCGGCACAGGTTGACCCGGGGCAGTTTCGCATCGTCGTTGGAACTTTTGCTGCTCGCTCACTCCGCCCCCTCTTCCCACCACATCTGGCGATGCTCCATACCCACTACGCTTGCCGATGAGGCTTGTATGCAATTATCTGCGTTTGAAGACAACCAGCTAACATGTGCTTTCTCAGTCCTTCGTGGTGGACTTCCTGAGTATGTAGACACTCCCAAACCGAGTCTTCGACAGCGGTGTCGCTGTTGCGCGAGCTTTTACGATGCGTATCAGCCAACGCCAAGCACCAATATATCGCGACCACCCCGGCCATCAACGACACTTAACATTCATTTACTGACTCTCAACCACAGTGGGCGGTGTTTCCGCTGCCGTCTCGAAGACCGCTGCTGCTCCCATTGAGCGTGTCAAGCTTCTCGTCCAGAACCAGGTACGTGTGTTGACGCCACTGTGCAAACGGACCTGATAAGATGTTTGCCGCCCACTCCGAAAGTGCCGCACTAGACCTTCCACTCGCACCAAAGCGCCCCATGTCCATACAGCGGTAATGCCTGGGATTTTCGGTTCCGTGGTCTTAATATCTCGAGTTCGGGATAGAGGACATTGTTCCGTCACCAGAAAGCTGCCCATTAAAACAGCTCAATATTTTCACTTATCACGTGAAAATGATCGGTAACCCCAAAAGGGGTGGGCGTGTTTTTTTCTTCTGTTTTGCAGACAATTGGAGGGCTCTAGTGCGAGGACTTGAGAACGTTTGGTGCTTAGCGCCGGATGTTTTTTGTAGAGTGGCGGCAACTATACATTGCAATATAGATAAGAGAAACGAACAACAGCTAACAATCAATGCAGGATGAGATGATCAAGGCTGGCCGTCTTGACCGCCGCTACGATGGCATTGCTGACTGCTTCCGTCGCACCATTGCCGATGAGGGTGTCATGTCCCTGTGGCGTGGTAACACGGCCAACGTCATCCGTTACTTCCCCACGCAGGCCCTGAACTTCGCTTTCCGCGACAAGTTCAAGAAGATGTTCGGCTACAAGAAGGAGCGTGACGGCTACTGGATGTGGATGGCCGGTAACCTGGCTTCGGGTGGTGCCGCTGGTGCCACGTCGCTGTTGTTCGTCTACTCCCTGGACTACGCCCGTACCCGTCTGGCCAACGACGCCAAGTCCGCCAAGAAGGGTGGTGAGCGCCAGTTCAACGGCCTGGTCGACGTCTACCGCAAGACCCTGGCCACTGACGGTATTGCTGGTCTGTACCGTGGCTTCGGTCCCTCCGTCGCTGGTATCGTTGTCTACCGTGGTCTGTACTTCGGTATGTACGATTCGATCAAGCCCGTCGTCCTGGTCGGCAACCTGTCCAACAACTTCCTCGCCTCGTTCCTCCTGGGTTGGTGCGTCACCACTGGTGCCGGTATCGCCTCTTACCCCCTTGACACTGTCCGCCGTCGCATGATGATGACCTCGGGTGAGGCCGTCAAGTACTCGAGCTCTCTGGATGCTTTCCGCCAGATCGTCGCCAAGGAGGGTGTCAAGTCCCTGTTCAAGGGTGCTGGGGCCAACATTCTCCGTGGTGTCGCCGGTGCCGGTGTCCTGTCGATCTACGATCAGCTCCAGGTCATCGTCTTCGGCAAGGCCTTCAAGGGCGGCTCGGGCTAAATTGCCTGAACCCTCCTTTGAAGATTCTCTTGCTTTTCCCCCCCACACACGACCTTTTTTGTACAAAAATCTTGCACTAGCGACTTGACGTGATTCCGGCGTCAATGGCGTTTAGTGGGCAACCGGTGACGGGGAAGAGACTGCACAGTATTGTTGTGACATGTTTGGTTTTGCGAGTTATGCGCTTGCAAAAAGTGCGAAGAGAGAAGGTGGACTGGGGTGTGGCTGGTCGGTTTGGTAAGGGTCGTCGGAATGCAAAGAGCTTCTTGAAGATCCTGGAGGGGGGGAAACATCAGTTGGGATGGGCGTTGATTCCACCTATGGGGCCGGCGGCTCGGGTAAGCCGTTGTGTGCTCAAGTTTACCCTTGGCACACTGTAATTTATATCGAATCTCAAGAGACAGTTTCCCCGACGCGCCTGGCCCTTGTGGTGACTTTTGTCGTCTCCACCGGCTTTGTTTCTCTCTGCGATCTTTTGTTCTTTCTTCCCCCTTTACCTTATTTTCCTTGGGTTACATGCACCTTGATAGATTTTCTCTTTACAGTACCGATCAAAAGAACGTTTGATTCCGTTGAACTAAACATGCTGGCTACGCTTGAGTGCCATTTGACTTGCGAATGTGAAACGAAACGCTGTACGAGATACTCCCGTAGCATTGAGACTTGCTAGCTGGAGGGATCTTTCGTGGGCGGGTTAGAATGTCAAGGGCATTTAGTTGTGTGTGTTCTCACGTGACTACGTATCGCGATTTTAGGGTGTCTCATGCGTCGTCCACCTGAACGTCAACATATCCGTTCTTTCTCTGTCTGCGCAGAATTGAATATATGCGACTACAATCGTTATCATTGTGTGTTCTTTTCAAATACGGAGTACAAAGAGTTGAAATAAATTGCACACTTAAGCTCCGGTCCATTGACAGCATTTCCAACTCTACAACCCCACCAATTTGAGACGCGTCTTCAGCGCGTTTTGCCCTCGACGGCAACACGACGACGACAACCACCGAAGACGAGCCAGGACACTTTTCGAACAAATCTCCTTGGGAAGATATTAAGCCAAATAAAAACGAAATAAATATGCCACCACAAATAACAGCAGCACGCCCCAGCCGAAGCACACCTAGCGGCACCACTGGTTTTCGAGGCACAGGCGCATTTAAGCCACCAAGGCCTGTCGCAGGGGCAGCAGGCGCTGGCGCGACGGCTAGGACAGCAGCAGCAAAAGATACGGCTCGGAGTCGGCAACCGGTCGATGTCGAGATTAGCGACGGCGACAACGATGGCAAGCGCGACACACGAGAGCAAGAGCCGGAAGAGATGGAGGACGACAACGACGTTGACGAGCTCGAGCGGAGCCGAATCAGCAGTAGCAGTACCAGGCGGCGACGAACGGTTGACCAGTTCCGGGACGATGCCGACGATGCTGCTGGTGGTGCCGCCACCGACATGGCCACCGACAACGACGACGATGACGACGACCCGACAGCGCGTACGAACAAGTCACTGCCGCCGGCGCTGTTAGCACGATTGCTGCATCACTTCTTCCAGAACCCAAACGGGACAGCGACGCGGTTAACGCAAGACGCACACGCATCGGTCAACAAGTATATAGAGATTTTTATTCGCGAGGCGGTGGCGCGGTCCGTGGCCGAGCGTGGCAACGGGGCGTTTCTGGATGTATGTTGCCGTGACGGGAGCCCATTTTCCTATACTCACATATTTCGCTTGGCTAACTATGTTTGTTTTAGGTGGACGTGTTACAGAAGGTTGCTGGCCAGCTGATTATGGACATGTAAACGAAAAATGGACAGCGTGTGGTTTCTAGAAGCCAGAAGACCCTGCATACTTGACGATTATAACAACAGTGGAACGGGACATGGAACAAAATAAAATGTAATTACATTATGAATTATATGTACAGCTATACAGTCATACACGGCAAAGTGGTTGGATCCGCCTTTGTGTAGACGGTTCTATGTGCTGGCCAGTCTCCAAGTTCGCTGGCAAAGGTTTGTGAGTTACTGTAAACTCGGCTAATTTTGCTTTGTATTATTCCAAAACACGCCATTCCCATAGATTGAACAGCTCGCAGTTCACGTCCAGGCATGTGGCGATGCCGTCGGTGCCATTATGACGTAGGGCAATCCAGACGACGATTGCTCGTTGCGGTCGGCCAGCCGGATGACAGAGCCGCTGGAGTTGGTCGAACGCAGGCTGGCGCTCGACGGTTGGCTGCTGAGGGCATATGGGTGCCGACTCTGCGCGAAGCTGTTTGCGCTAGACGCTTGGGACGAGGGCCGGCGTGTGGTTTGCCTTGATGTCCTCCTGGCTTGGCGGGCATCGGGCCGTGGTGATAGTAGCGGCTGTTGTAGAGCACGCCTCTGATTCTGTGGCAAAGTTGCGCTTGCAAGGTCCGGATTGTTTACCTGGCGGCTTGGACGGCGTCGTCTGCTGGTTCCGGCACTGTCCTGTGTGCTGTATGACTTGCTACTTCCGCCGCTACTGCTAGCCGTCTCTGCGGAGCGCCTGCTGCTTCCAGACTGCGATCTGGTGAGGGGTGCTGAATGCTGTGGTAGAGGATCGTAGAGTTGTGATGGTCGTCGTCGTTGTGGTGGTTGTTGATGATGGGTAATGAGATGTGTGCTGTGCCGACTACGACTTCGTATTGGTGTAGTATTATCGTTTATATCGCCATCATCGGCGTCTTCTTCGCCAAAGCTGAAGCCGCTCTCCTTGTCGTATCCACTTTCGTCATACTCGTCGTCTTCGTCGTCTTCCAAAACACTTGGGTCGAGAGGGGTCATCCGGCGCAGGATCGTTGCCAGATCGTGCATCAGCTGGCGAAACATGTGGTTGGAAATCATGCGTGTCGAAAAGCGCGCATACTCGTATTCCGTCGCAAAAGACGAAACGATTTCGCGCAGCGAGCGACGATCGCTGTCGGCCACGTGCGCATCGCGGGACGGTGCATCAGCTTCTATGTCGACGACGCCGAGCTCGGCGAGGTGGTAGAGGTATTCGCGGAGGCCCATGTACGAAGGCCGTTCAAGTAGGGCCACAGCATCTGGGTCGAAGAGAGGCGGGTCGGCTGCCGAGAAAGGATCTGGCGGCGCAAGCGTTATTGCCTTGGCCTCAACTAGGTTTGGCAACTCGGCGAGGACTGTGCTGTACTGCAGATTAATGTTCTCGTCGAGAGGGTCGGCCGTAGCACCGCCGCCGCCGCTGCCGCTGCCGCCTGCACCCCCACCTCCATCTTCACGTCCACTGCTGGTCGCTCCGCCGCCCCGTGACCGACGCAAGACCTGGTCGGGTGGTGCCCAGCCGGGGTGCTCGATTACACCCCAAACAGCCTGGCACGGCGGCAGGTCAATACCCAGCGCTTTTTCCATTTCCATCGTCTCGGCCCTTTTGAATCGCACCGCCTTTGGGGGCCGGTGTGCTTTTTCTCCGTCAGCGGCCAGGTCTGAGCCGCCACCGTCCTCCTCGTTGGCTCCTATGACGTCCCCTTCACGGTGTTTTGGCGCTCCCCCTCTGCCGCCGTGCATAAACACGTCCGCAGCCAGCATCGGACACATCTCGTCAAGCAACTCCTCAGGCACGACACGCGGCCGCGACATAAAGGCAACGGCAGCACTGCGGCTGAGGCCGGCGCTGATCATGCTGCGCACCGGCTTCGAGACATCGCCTTTTTCGATGGGGACCCAGGACTTGGGGATGGAGTTGAGGACGGCGCGCTTGAGGAAGAGACGCAGGAAGAAGACGATCGCGATGACGAGAATGCCAAAGATATAGGCGCCAGCGACGATAAGGATGGAGACAACGTCGTGGCGGTAGCGTGACTGGTTTATGAGATCGCCGGGCGTCACGAGCAGCAGCGCGAGGAGTAGAACGTGCAGCAAGGTGTAGACGGTGGCGTAGAGAACACGAAAGAAGATCTCAGTCGAGTTCGCCATGGTGGAAGGAGTCGTTCGTCGTCGTCTTTTCGTCTTCTCGTCCTCGTGGTCTGGTTTTCTCGTCGAAAGACGATTTACCGCGACGTCAAAGGATGCATGAAAAAATACAGACACCCCGTAGAGGCGATCGGCAGCCGCATCGCCGTTGTCGAGAGTTCTCACAGCGCCCGGGGAGGTATTGATGCGATCATATCGAGGGCGCCAGATTGGCGGGTGACAGGCGAGGAAAACTGTCGCAGAACAACGACAATGAAAGAAGTCAATTGTTGAGAGCCCTGTCTCGACAGCTAGTCAGGACCCACATAGACACCTCTGATTGGCCAATGGTGTTCAACATGGGACCGCCGGCACGAGAGGATCGACACCTTCACATGTTCTCGTCATTTGTTTCGTTTCTTGTTTTTGCTTCATCGATGGAGAACATTCCTGGTTGTTATGCAATTTTTATATGACTTTTTTTTTAGCTCAGGTATTCTTCCCAAATGCAAATGTGAAAGACATAGTCTCATTACAGATCCTATAGCAAAACGAACAATAACAACGCAACGACTCGCAAGCTTCAAATCCGCAGACATGCTCGTCTACTCGTCTCCTCGTGTCTATGACCGTAATTCGGCCATCTCGGGGTTGGCATCGTCCCCATCAGCCGGCTGAGGCTCCTCCTGCGATTCACGCCCGGCTGTGGCCGCCTCTTCAGCCAGCCGCATGTCAGTCTGCGAGAGTCGAAGGTCGCGGCTGTACTGGCCAAAATTCGCAATGAGATCGGTCAGGCTGTCCTTGAATGCGTCCAAGATAGCGTCCACCTCGGGACAGACACGTTCTGCCTCCACGTCTGTCCAGTGCAGCCGGTACGAGGCTTTGAAGCCTTCTAGCTTGCGCGTCACGCGTGTAAACTCGCGCACAATCATGGCCACGTCCCGCTGCACGTTACCAAACTTGTCCTCTTGCAGGCTGTGCACGGCCAGAAGGCAAAGCGCATTAATAGCGTTCACGTACACGCTCGGTTCGCCGTAGGGCCCGCCAAGAACAGCCGCCGTGATACGGTTCTGGAACCGCAGGCGGAACGGCCAACCAACAATAGGCAGTGCCAAGAACTGGCGAACCGTGTTCTGCAGGCTGCTGTTGGGGTTCTCGGGGCCGCTAATGTCACGCTGGACATTCTGCAGCCGCTTGCGCGCGTCCTGGAGCACCTGCTTGGTGAGCGGGCTCAGGCGCGGCGAGTTTTGTGGGTCGATGGCAACCTTGTTGACCATCTTCTCCATCTCGCTCGAGAACGTCTTCTTTTTCTGCGGCGTCGCCACCAGGATGTTGGGGTCGTCGCGGACGGGTTTGGTTAGCCGCTTGACTTCGGGCGCAGCGTCGTCCGCGCTGCTCCTGGCGGCCGGTGCCGGCACAGCGGGAGCCGGTGGGTCGATGCGGTTCTCCAGCGTCTTAATCGTATCCAGGCACAGCTTGCAGATCTGCGACCAGGTCGAGCCGTCCTTGCGGTCAATATCCGTGTAGATGGCTACTCGGCGGTCGGGAAAGTTGCACGCGATAAAGGCCAGCTCCCACGTAGAGAACGCCTTGATCTTGTCCTTCCTGCTCTTCAGCCCGTTCAACAAGCTGCCGTTGGGGTCCTTGGAGTCCGAAGTCAGGGGCCTGCCGTCCTTGAGGGGCTCATTGACCAGGAACAGTGAAAAGGCAGCGTTGCCAACGACGACCAGCAGCGTGAACAGGAAGCCAGCCTGAAAGCAGCGCGGCAGGTAAGTCCACGTCGAAAAGTAAGGCTTCATTGACGGCGGGAGCGACGACTTGGGGAGGCTGAAGAAAGGCCGGAAGAGGGCAAGCGTGAAGCGCCAGGCTATGGGCCGCACGAAGAAGTTGTAGACAATCACACTCGTCACGAGGCCTACAATTGCGCGTGCAAAGGCGGAGATGATCAAGAACGGCAGCTGGGCAAGCAACGAGCGGTACGGCTGTGACGACTTTCCGGCCGCAGCGCTGCTGCTGCCGCCATTGCTACCATCGCTGGCTGCCGCAGGCCGGGCCGTTCCAAGCAGCAGACGGTCGCTATCCCAGAAAAGATGCAGCACGGCGTTGACGGCACCGACACACACAACGTGCACGACAAGGTAGAGAGCGCGCTCGTTGAGTCGGGCACGGTCACCCTGATAGTGTGTGATCCAGCCGAGGGTGGCGCTCTCGGGCGCTGACCAGCGGAAGACTTGGCCGTAGAGCCAGCCGGCGAGGCAGTAGGAAAACACAGTCTCGACGGTCTTGGGCTTGGCGGCGTTGTAGAGAAACGTCTCAAAGGGTGAGTTGCTCGTGCGGATGCCGATGTGGAACTGGGCGATTCGTAGGATGATGATCACCAGGCCGCAGAAGAAGATGACGAGCGCGCGGAAGCCAGCGCCGCTGAGCGGGAACCATGCCCAGAGCCATGCAGACCAGCTAGACAGCGCCAGGGACTGCGCGTAGGCAATTGCCAGCAAAACGAGGGCTGTCGAAGAGAACCGTCTATGCAGAGCGGGCTGCAGAAAGTCTTTGTAGGGGAGGACCCGCCGTGCAGACTGCGGTGCAGCATTGGGACTTTGCGTGGCCGTCGGCATGCTGCCAGCGCATTGGGGGAGAGAGAGCTGGAAGGTCGGTCGGTGGTTGGCGATGCGGAAGACTACTTGAGCAAAAAGGTGAAGCTTTTTTTGGCGACAAAGTAAATAGTAAATACTGGGGGCAGCAAGAGCGCTGGAAAAACGCGTTGGGCTGCTGTAGGCAACGGTCACGTCAAAAATCCCAAAATGTTCGCTGATTGGCTAGAAAAGCTCAAGGTCCACTTTATTCTGTAAAGCTCCCCACGCAGCCAACTGTGATGACTAAGATCCAACATCTTGTTAAGCAACTGACGACATCCATCTTCTCGTCCTTCCATTTTCGACAACAAGACGATAAACAACATGCGATGACAAAATGGATGCGCCTGTTCCCGCACGTGAGGCACGCGAGGCGCAGAAGACCCTCCTGGAGTCGCTCACGGCCCTAGGCAGCGCCGCATTTGACCCCAACACGCCAGATCGCCATACGGCTCAACAACAGCTCTCAGATCTACTCCAGAGGTGAGAACAGTAAGGGATGAGCCGTGCAATCCTGACTTGGGCACATGCTGACGATTGTAGAACGCCAACGGTGTCGCTCCTACCGGCTCTAAATGTACTCATCCAGCCGGGTCGAGTGCCCGATGTGGTACGCGTCGAGTTCGTGAGCCAGCTGGCTCTGCTTCCGCTCCGAAGCGATGGTGTACGCGCCACTCTTGAGTTTGTATTCTCTGTGCACCCATCCAATGCGAACAGCAACGCTTCAGCACCACAAAAGCAGGGCGCCCAGATCACGCTCGAGGCCCTCAAGATGGCAACCCGTCTGCTCGCAAGTCCACCAGTGCGGGCAAATTCGGTTGACTGGTTTCGGGGCATTGCGCCCCAGCTTCTGGCACTCCTCGATGGACACGACGGCCTGGAGCTTGCCAAGGTGGCGGCGTACGTGATCGGCTTCGGGATCTTGGGCCGCAAGAGTTTTGGCGCGCCAGGCATGCCTGGATGGGCCAATTTTGCGGAACCTATGCTGCAGTGCATCGACCCCACGACAAGCCAAACGACGAGTTTAAAGCCAGGACAAGGCACAACCGACAGAGGCAGTGACAGCGTTATTGATCTGCGGAGAAATGCTACTGCAGTTCTTGTATCCGAAGATACCCTCGCGGAGGGCCTTCGGCGGCTCCAGACGCTGGTCATCTCACATCCAAATCCGGGCTTGACACGACGGCTGCTGAGCCCTGTCATCTTGCCTCTGTGGGCCCTATCCTCTTGGTCCAGCGCCTCAAAAAAGTGCGAGGAAGATTACTGCCTGCCGGCACGCAATTTGCTCAAAATCTACCTCAAGATCTCAACCGCACCCGACAAGGCGATGCCGATTGTGCGAGATCTGCTGTTTGAAGGATCGCGAGACGCTGGCCGGCAGCCTCAGTGGCAGTATCAGGCGACCGATGCAAATGAGAACAGCATTTGCATTGTGTCAGCCCCGAGCACGCCACCCAGTGCGGCCGAGGTGCTGCAAACACGGTGGAACGAGATTGGGCCCAAATCCGACGCCCTTGTGGAGCTCCTGTCATCCATCGCTACGGACGACGAGGACATCTCGTCCGTTTTCCTAGACCTTTTCAGCCGTTGGCTGTCGTCAAAGAAGCCCAGACGGCAACCGGCAAAAGACTTTATCCTGGTCAAGGAAGAAGACGACAACGACGACAAGCTGCATGGCGGCTCTGATAGCAACCCCTTGGTGGACGTGTTGGAAGGCAGCATGCTGCAGAAAATGATGGAAAAGTTTCCCGAGAAGCTCGCCGGCCGGCCCAACGACATCCTTGAACTGGTCAGTGGACTTCTGAACCAAGTAGATGAGGCGTCCCTGGCCGAGGACGAGACAGTGCCGCTGCTGATGAGTCTGTTGAATTTGGTCGTCACGGCGCCAGGCTTTCGAAAAGCCAAAGCCGATGCAACGGTGGTCCAATCCATCGAGGTCTCGCTCGGCAAAATCAGCAGAGTGTCGGGTACCGAAGACATTAATGAGACGGCCCAGACGGCCAAGAACCTGTTGCTCTTCCTCAAGTACAGAGATGAGATCGAGGATCCAAAGGGAGAGAACAGGGCTGGCGCAACATCTACCATAAGCCAGCAACAGATTGAAGAACGAAAGACGTACAGTCTAGCCATATCCTACATCACACAGGCCGATTCGCCGCCGCCAGTTCGGTCGGAAGGGCTGAATCTGTTGCAGGGTCTGATCCTCTCCAACAGCTCCATTCTGGATGTCCCTGCGCTGCTGGTGATGATGTCGTCCATGCTCGACGAGAACGAAGACTACGTGAACTTGCGTGTAATCAAAATATTTACGGTATTGGCGGACAAGCACCCCAAATCGACCACAAAAGAATTACTTGACCACTACGTCGACGCCAACGAGATGAAGGGCGTCGAGACACGGCTTCGCTTTGGCGAAGCTTTGCTGCAAGTCGTCCAACGCCTCGGCGCCACATTCTCTGGTGATACTGCAAAGGAAGTCGGCCAGGCGCTCCTTGAGATTGCGGGCCGGCGAGGGTTCCGGCCCAAGACAAAGGCCAAGCAGGAGCGTGAGCAGCGTATGCGTGATCTCAAGGCCAAACGGAAGGCACCCGGAGGCGACGAAATTGCCGAGGATGACGAGGACATTGACATAGACGATGCACTTCTGTCTGACGAAGAACGCAGCCGCAACGAGATCCTCGGCCGCATCGTCGACGGCTGGGGCAGCAAGCGCGGCAGCGAAGACGTGCGCATCCGCGCCTCGGCATTGTCCATCTTTGCGTTCAGCCTCGACGTCAACATTGCGGGGCTCGGGGCAACGCTGGCCTCAGGCGCCGTCGACTTGTCGCTGCACGTGCTGACCATGGAGCCCGAGCTTGAAAAGGCAATCCTGCGGCGCGCAGCCATTGTGCTGATTCTCAGCTTTGTGCGGGCGCTGCACGACGCTCGGGAGGCGGGGCGGCGTCTCGGGTTTGGCCTCGTACAGCAGAGCCAGGATGATATGTTGCGCATCCTACAGTACGTCGCCGACACGGACGAGGATGGGCTGGTGAAACAGCACGCCATCGACGTGATTGAGAGCCTGGAGAACTGGAAATTGACGTCTTTGCTGGCACCGGCGAGCGAGGGCAGCGACACGCTTTCTGGTGTGTCGTCAGTCGGCGGTCTGGCCGGCCTGGCCGGTTTGTCCATCGACCCGACGAATATTGGAACGTCGACGTCGTCTACGTCCGCGTTGCCTAGTCGCCAACCACAACCACCACGTCCACGCATCGAAGAGATAGAGTAACATCATAAATTTGTTCTGCTTTTCTGCTCGCAATTGATTTCGAAATTTCTTACGGCTCGGCATATATTTACAGCTGCAACACATCTGCTGAGGTGGTCCCGTCTAACTCTTCTTTTAGTATTTTTTTTTGGTTGAAATAAGTATAAAGGGTATCGTTAGCGACAGTGTTTTGGAAGAAGAAAGCAAAACAACCAAGCAAAACATTACGTTCCCGCAACAGGAATCAGCACACGGGGAAAAGATGACCATGAACGACCGACAACCTCAACCACGAACGACATTACAATCAACTACTGAACCAGACATGAAACCAACATCCTACAACAAATTGAAGCTCAACATAAAGAAGACGACAAGAAGCAGTGCCGATACAGCCACGTTGCGAGACGCCGTCGACTGGCTGACCGCATTAACTGACGTTACCGTGGCGTTGGGTAGTTCGTTTGCTGGGAGTGTTAGCGATAACGATTGTACGATGCATTGCCCGATTCGAAAGGACTCACCCAGGTCAAGAATAAACGGCATTTCCGTCTTGCAAACCGAGACCAGCGTCGCATTGTTGAGCAACTTGTCAAGCTGTGCCGTGGCCTTGGCCACCAGTTTTTGAAATGCCGCAATTCGCGTCGTGTTGCCCTCGAGCGTCTGGTTCAGCCTCGTCGCATTGCGTGCCAGGCTCACATCGCCGTACAGCTGCTTGATCAGTCGGCACTGCGCCTGCGTCTGGAACATGGCACAGAACTGCAGCAGCGTCTCGTTTCCTTGGAGCGCGGCCAGCTCTGGCTGCGCCTTGGTGACCGCCGCTTGGATATGCTGTGCGCGCGTTGTGTTGCCGTGTGCCGCTTTATCGAGTGCCGTCGCATTGGCTGCGAGGGTGGCTCGGGCCTCCAGGAACCGCAACCGGTTGCACTGCTCCCCGCTGCTCTCCGTCGCAAAAATGGCGTCGCAGATGCCCAGGAACGTCGCGTTGCTACGCAAGCTCACAAACAGCGCCCCCTGTGGCGATGTGGCGTTGCGCAGCTGGGTGGCCTCGGCCTGAACACGGGCAATGCGCGTGGCGTTGCCCTTGACGTCGATCTGGAGCTGAGTGGCATTGGCAGCGCTGTCGATGATGTGGTTGAATCGCTGTAGGACTGTGCAGCGCTCGAGCGTCGACCCGGCATTGACGCCTTTGAGTCCCTTGTGGTGCTTTGAGTGGTCATGGTGTCCGTGCTCACCGCCGCCGCCACTCCGGTCTCCTCCGTGGTGTTCGCCGCCGTTGCCGTTCTGCTTGCCGACGTCACCAGTCGAAGCATCTGCTGTGCGGTTCTGAGCCAGTGTCGAGCCGAACGCCGTAAAGGCGAGTGTCGTGATGAGAGAAGCGGGCTTCATTTTGGGGATAATATTGATAAAGAAATGAAAAAGAAAAATAACGTCTTCACAAGACGTACAATGCTTCGTTAATGTGAAAAGAATGAATAAAATATAGTAATGAGTGAAAAGACGAGCGCTACCAGTCGCTGTCCGTAAATAAAAACCCCTATCAAAAGAGTGTAGAAGAAGAGAAGAATAAGAAAAGACAAAGTAGAAAAAGAGAAAGAAAAAGAACGAGAAATCGTGACTACATCAGAATGAGCATGGCGACCAAAAGAGGGAAAGGACAAAGGAAAATAGAAGAAAACCAGGTTCACAACTGGGCATGGCGCGGGATCACGATAGTTTTAAGGAGGACCACGGCAAGAGAGGATATACGGATGCAGGAAGACAGACGACCCCGGATACGATGGGTGGAAACAAAGAGGGGGCCAGAGTTGGCTAGGCTTGGCCGTGCATCGTACATTGTGCATCGTGCACCGCCTGATTCAACCCAACCAAAGATACCGTTGACCAAGACAAGAGCCATTCTGCAGACGCATATCCTGGCGAGACTGGCATTGCCCCCGGCTGATCTTCCGTGCTCCTTAATTTCTCCGGTTTCCTGTCTTCATATCCAGCTTCATTTTCTTTGTCGTCCTTGGCTCACTTGCCTCTCCACGGACTCGCCAAGAATAGATCGAGGATCGGCCTCCAGGTTCCGGGAATTAAGTCTACAGTGACAGAGCATCGACAGAAGAGACGATAAGAGACAGCAACAGCAGCAAAGGGGAAAAAAGGATGAAATAAGAGTCCCCGTCTGTGCAGACGGTCCAGGCCGTCGACAGACGGACAAAAAAAGTCCACCGATGACACGATCTGCGGTGCGTTGGGACGCGTCCCTTTATGTTGGATGATCTGCTTGGAAGCCGCTTTTTCACGTTGGCTGGAACAGTGTCAAGTTGCGAGGCAGAGACGACGGAAGGAGGAGAAAGGGAGGGGCTGGTCGACCCATGCCGCCTCCGGTTTGTTGTAAGCGACGAGTTTGAGAAGGGCAAAGTGTCGCTGGTGAAAAGACTTTCTTTCGAGTAACGACGTCGAGAAATTCGGCTACTTTTTGGGTTTGAAGCATGATCATAGGCAATTAGTTTTTTATTTTATTTTTTTAATCATAAATAAATACAAGTTCAAATTGCTTATATCAACGATGCGTTCCAATGAATACCATCTCGTCTTTATCCATGCAATTATGCTCTACAATATACTCTTACATTCTCATAACTTCAAGGCGTCTGTATGTCTTGTTTCTTTCCTGTCTCCTCCCGTTTGATCGGTTGTTGATCGTCAGCCCGATCCAGCATTGGACCGGGTTTGATCGGCCGTGCCCTTCGCATTGCTTAAAATCGTCTAGCCTGAGGTGTATTACACTTTGAGATTACACCACTTCGTCTCATGCATCTACCTGGGAAGTCTGTGCGCGGAATGGAAACGAATAACAAAAAAGCAGACGCTAGAAGAAAATAAAATCGCCTCGTACATATCAGTGCCATACACAAAACCGACAAATCGTGGCATACTGGCCTCCTTCCACATCCGAAATTTAGGGGTCTTTTCAAGCGTCTTTATGTTCGCGATCCGTCATCCGCTTGGACGAAAATCGTAAACAAACAACAATCGACAGCGAGTTAAAAAAAACCTACTTCTTTTACAAAATTCAAAGTATCCCGGCTGAGGTTTCATAACGGAGCCTTCGGTCAATGGCATCCTTTCCATCCGGGCACGTCAAGATACCGTTTCTTCGGAACGGAATGACGTCGAAGCTGTCCGAGTTACGAGGTACTTTGGGATGATATGGCTGCAGTATGCAAATGTCCCAGACTTAGTCGTCCTTCCAAGTCCCGAAATACTGAGTACGCTGCTGCAATTCTCCTCGTTTTTACCACTTCCATCACAGCTGTGGCTGTTGATCTTGCCATATTCACAGGGGCCGGAGAGTGCGTTCCTTAATCAATATTGGTAAACTGGCTCTCCAAATGCTGCTCAGCAACCGCATTCCCATACCTAGCTTCCTCGCCGTCGTTGCCATCCGGTAATCTTGCAATCATCTTCACGCACTTCACTCCCTCTTCACGAGGATGGCACATTGCGTCGGACGGGACGGTGACTGTGCCGGTTAACGTAGTTTCCGTCCATGATAGACGAGTCATGCATGATTCATGTTTTTTTGTTCATGGTATTTGTAACGGGAAAAGTACGCCTTCTATATTATTGGGTTCGAGCCCGCCTCGCGGTAGAATGTCAGCCGCCGGTCCGCACCCGCTGTGCAGAAGCTCTCTGTGTCGGCCCCAGGCCGTTCCGACTTGGGCGGCAGCCACTTGACGCTCCACAGCGCTGACATTTCTGTCTCGCCGTTGGTCGCCACGCACGTCCCTAGCTCCACGTTCCATACCCGCACTTTGCCGTCCATGTACCCGGCCAGTAGATATTCGCCCGATGCCGAGAAATCGAGCGACATGACCCACACGGCTGAGCTCGATGTCGTCGACCCCGGTGGTGTCAGATTGCCCACGGGCTCGCCATGCTTCATATCGTACAGCGAGATCACGCCGGCGTCCCCGCCGGCTGCCAGCCGCTTGCCAAGCGGCGAGAACGCCACCGCCCGCACAGGCTTGGCTAGACCCGGTAACGTGTACACCAGCTTGGACTGGTCATTGTTGAACACGTTGACAGAACCACTCTGGTACCCTGCCGCCGTGTATTTTCCGTCTTGACTCAGATCGACCGCCATGGCAAAGCTGCTTGTCGCCCGGTTGTGTGAGCTGTAGACAAGCAACTGTGCGCGCGCCTGCAGGTCCCACACGCCCACACGCCCATCATGAGTCGTGTACGCCAGGTACTGCTCGTTTTTGCTGAGCGCAAGGGCCCACGCGTCGGTCGTCTTATCGGTCTTGGTGATAGCTGCTGCCGGAGCGCCTTCCTGGGTCCCAGGAGCGCCGCCTTTGTTTCCTGCGATCAGGTCACTCGGCCGCAGGGTTGTGTCTAGCGTCCAGTCACCTGCCTCGCTGCGCCGCCATACGTTCACCTCGCCACCAAAGCCTGCCGAACAGGCCACCTGCCCAGAGCCGCCCTTGGCCGTCGTCACATGGTGGCAGCCGAGCTTGTGGGCAACGTCGATAGACTGTGCAATGGGAAAATCGGGTGTGGTCGTGCTGTGGATGCGCAGGGTCGATGCGCCAGAGCCCGAGATGACCGAGTTCGGCGTCACCGCTATCGAGAAAATATCCGTCTCGTGAGCTACAACAAGAGGAGGACAGTTAGCGAATACATACTGTGTTTTCATCTGGAGAGTCTCCTCGTTTGCTTGCTCCTGGCGGGGTTCATCGCACGCACCATTGTCCACAGCCTTGGCGATGTAGAATTGTTTCGACTTGCGCACATGTTAGCTTTGGAGTAAAGACGTTGCAAAGGACAGGCAAGGAGTAGCCAGTCATACCATCGCGTCGTCAGTCGGAAGAGGTTTGGCAACAAGAGTTTTGTGTCCAAGTCTGCCTTCTTTGTTGTCCAGGTGTACGTTTTTGGAGCTCTTGCCGTTTGGAAGAATCCCAAGGCTAGTGTGGGGCAGGTACCGCGAACAGCTCCTGCCGGATCTATTCTGTAAGGCTACACTGCTCGCCGCCAGCGCATGATTGCTCTTTCCCGGCTTCCGACACCAGCGATTTTTGCTGCAACTTCCTAACATGAATGAGTTGGTCATATGAACCGCCATTCTACTTTGTTTTTCAGTTTGACCGGGCAGGTATGTATCAGCCCCTATCCTACATGACAATTTAACATGACAGCTCCTTCAGCAGTGCGCGCTCACTTAGGAAACCCAACGGAAGTTCTAAAAACTTCTACGGCAACGGAAAGACAAAACGTAAGGCTTCAAAGATCATTTAGATTTGGTATCGTATATACATGAGGAGTATTCTTTTGTGTCTCCATAACTACTGCTTTTCGTAGCACTATTCACAGCCTACAACCAGTCTTTATGCGACTGTTGTACATGTTGTAATTTTGTTTCGTCGTTGGCGAAGCAGACTAGGTCATCTAATACTTTGGCAGCTTCCCAGACCACGGTTGGCCAGGAGCCGCATCCCGATATGCGCGGCCCAGTGTGGCACCTTCTCGCGTGGATGCGGCTATAACCGCTTCTTCATCATGTCACGAATAGCTAGGGCAGAGTTAGTAGCTAGATCTAGAGTATCCGCCCATCCAAGCTTCGATATGAGGTTAAAACAGGCAACGAGGCCCTATAGGGTTGAGACATACTCTCCAAACAGTAAGGGCACATGTGGTGCATCCGTTTTGTCCGCCCGCAGGCAGGGCACTTGCACAGCGAATTGACATCCTTCAGCGCCTTGCCCGCCATCTGCCGACTCCGCTTCTTCGAGTGCGATGTTTTCTTTTTTGGCACCGCCCGGAGGATCGATTCCCAGATGTCGCCCAGAAGGGATGGTAGTGATGGCAGCGAGAGAGAGATGGCGGGGAGGAGAGGGGTGGCGGCTGCGAGCCGGTGTGCGAAAAGAGATGCGATGCGGACTGACCGTGATGATATTAATGAGCGTGAGGCGAGAGTAGATCTGAAAGGCGAAGACATTGAGGGCGACAACGCGAAAAGCCGGGGGAGGAACGAGGTCGAGCCGGCCCGGAACGGCACAGCAGCGACAGCCATAACGGGCACGAAATTGTGGATAGTGTGGCAGCTTGAAGAGCAATCGGGTGAGCAGAATGGTCGCCTTCTGAATTCAATTGATCGTCGCTGAAGTGGTGGTTGTCGCGTGCGCTCTGTTGTTCAAATGGCTCACACCGTTTGGATGAAGCTATTTTTTTGGCCGGTTTTTTTTTCTGCCATCATGCCGTCCCTCTTTTTTCTCTCGCTTAGTCATTTTCCATTTCGCGCGTGGTGCAACCTAACAAAGACTGTTCCGAGCAGGAAACAACGATTGGTGTTGCTAGTGCACCAGGCCATGCTCTCCTTACCTGCAGTCCCCACAGGGGACTGCCGTTACCCAATGGTGTCGGGCCAAGGCACACGGACACAATTCTGGCCAATCAACGCTCATCAGCCCGTTTACCTTCCCCTTTTCTACCCCTGTCCACGAAAGGAAAGCAGGCGGGAGACAGAAAGGTTGGGTCGCTCCTGGACCTTGTGAAATAGGGGGTACGCAGAGAGAAAAGGGAAAGTGAGGAGCAAATCTCTCTCTCCCTCCCCCCTAATCTAATAAGGCCAGGTGCTACCGGAGCGCACATACACCACAATTAGTTTCGCCCAATTTCCAATTCCTGTCTCCCACCCCCCCGAAAAGAAGGAGTCTCTATTTTGTTTCCTTCCAAGTGACATCGCGAGCCCAGTTTCCAGCTTCTTTTCTGCCAACCGTTTCTGTGTTCCGACCCTTTCGACCGCGCGTTGATTCCGTCTGTTACCTACCTCGCAAACTCAAACTCGTGTCCATCCCACCGCATTTCTCCGTCTACCCCTTTCCATTCGACAAAATGGCGGCCATGCCCCCTGCCACGATTTACCCTCAGAGCCATGTTGGTTTTGACAGCATCACGTCGCAGATCGAGCGAAAGCTCCTGAAGCGTGGCTTCCAGTTCAACGTTATCTGCGTTGGTAAGTTTATTCCTTGCCTGTGGTCGGAGCTCGTCGTGCGGTGTGGTAGAGGTGCTTAGATCGGCCATCGGCCCCCCTTTTCGCATCAAAATGCCACGATGCAGCTTCGACCTGTTCAACGTCGTCCAACTGTGGCTGTGTCCTTGTGGTTCCGCAACTAACACTCTCTCTAGGCCAGACCGGTCTCGGCAAGTCGACCCTGATCAACACCATCTTCGCTTCCCACCTGATGGAGTCCAAGGGCCGTCTCATGCCAGAGGAGACCATCCGCTCGACCACTGAGATCCACGCTGTTTCGCACATCATCGAGGAGAACGGCGTTCGGCTCCGCCTGAACATTGTCGACACCCCCGGCTACGGCGATCTGATTAACAACGACCGCTGCTGGGATCCTATCGTCAAGTACATCAAGGACCAGCACTCTGCGTACCTGCGCAAGGAGCTCACCGCCCAGCGTGAGCGTTATATCCAGGACACGCGCATTCACTGCTGCTTGTTCTTCATCCAGCCGTCGGGCCACTCGCTCAAGCCCATCGATATCGTCGTGCTGAAGAAGCTCTCCGACGTTGTCAACGTTGTGCCCGTCATTGCCAAGTCCGACTCGCTGACCCTGGAGGAGCGCCAGGAGTTCAAGGCCCGTATCAAGGAGGAGTTTGCTTTCCACAATCTGAAGATGTACCCCTACGACAACGACGAGTTTGACGAGGAGGAGGTTGCCGTCAACACGGATATCAAGGTAGGCCCAGGTCATCGCTCATTATATGGGTGTTACATCATTCCACTGCGCAACAGATGTACTAACTGGAAGTATAGAGCCTGATCCCTTTCGCTGTCGTCGGCTCCGAGAAGTCCATTATCATCAACGGCAAACAGGTCCCGGCTCGCCAGAACCGGTGGGGCGTCATCAACGTCGAGGATGAGGACCACTGCGAGTTCGTGCACCTGCGCAACTTCCTGCTGCGCACACACCTGCAGGACCTGATTGAGACTACGTCCCAGATCCACTACGAGACCTTCCGTGCTAAGCAGCTGCTTGCCCTGAAGGAGAGCAGCGCCCAGGGTGCTGGTGGCCATGGCAGTCGGCCCATTAGCCCTGCGGCCGACCGTGAGCTGAGCCGTGGCTCGCAGCGGGTGACCATGAACGGCTACTAAGCTTGAACACAAACGCGGAGCGCGTGGCTGAGCCGTGCCCTTGTGGCACGCTGCTACCCTCCTCCGCGGACGTTTATACCTTGACTACCTTTTACTCTCATGATCATTTCTTTGTTTGTTTCAGCCTATGCTTTTGCTCTCACATCATACCCCTGGCTCCGTGTTAGACTCGGCTTGGTCCGGCCTGCTCGCCTTTGCGCTAGATTTGTCGACCTTCGCTTCCCGTCTTGGCATCGGAGCCACGACAATAATTTTACTACGGCCAACCCTAAACCACAAAAAAGGTGGACGAAGGAAGCAAGTGGTTTCGGAAAAACAAAAATAGGGCACATAACGTATTATTGCTTTGGGTGGATTTGCCGGCTTTGGTTTTTGTTAAGCCTGTGGTAGACGGCGCCGGCCATATCATTGTCGGACTTGGCTTCTGTGGTTTTTGATGCCTACTGCTCCTTTTTAATTGCTACCTTTTCTTCACTTTTATGTTGTTTGTCTTCTGCTATATGTTCAGTCCGTGTTTGTTGAACACCCAGTGCAGGTCGTTTACAGTCTCGGGTGCTTCTTTAGTATTACCGTTTTCTCGCCAATGCGATCAGTCCTTAAATTCATATGTTCGTGTTAGGCGGTGTACAGAAAAATAGTTTTGTAATAATCCGTGTTCTTTTGTGTATTCACCAGTTCAATTGACTGCCGCGATGCCAGTGGGAGAATCTAATATGTGCAGATCTATCCAGTTATTTTTTTCCCGCCACCAGGTGGACGTGCTGAACCCCTTTTATACGTATCTCTTTTGGCCACTCTGGCTGGGCCTGCGGAGGTAGCTGTTCCAAGGAACGGGTTGTTGTCAGACAGCCCCCATTTACTGCTTCTTCTGATAGACAAAGTCCTCCAGCTCCTTGTAGGCCTTCTCCAAGTCGTCGTTGACAATGATCTTGTCATGGACGCCGGGCGTCTTGCTGTACTCCAGCTCGACCAGTGCCTGCTTCAGGCGCTTCTGCAAGTTCTCCTCGGTCTCGGTGCCGCGGCCGCGCAGGCGCTGCTCCAGGACCTCGACGGACGGCGGGGCAATAAAGACGTAGCGGGCGTCCAGGCTGCTACCGCGGGCGCGCTGCTCCTGGATCTGCTTGACGCCCTCCATCTCAATGTCGAGGACGACGACCCGGCCCTTGGCGGACTGGTCCGCGACGGTCTGCTTGCTGGTGCCGTAGCGGTTGCCGCCGAACTTTGCATGCTCGACGAAAGCGTCCTTGGCGATGAGCTCCTCAAAGGCCTCCATAGTAGTGAAGTGGTAGTGCTCGCCGTCGTTCTCGCCGGCACGAGGGCCACGGGTGGTGTGGGAGACGGCTGGAAGAGAGGGAGAGGACAAGAGTTAGCAAGCTGGCGGTGGTATGAGTCAGACCGCCAAAAACGCGAGGACAGGACCACGTACAGGAGCAGAAGGTATCGGGATGGCGCTGGAAGAGCAGGTTGTAGAGAGTGCCTTTGCCGACTTTACAGACCATCGATTAGCTATCATCCGGACAGTATAAGTAAGAATATAACATGAAAATGGCCGTGCCTACCTCCTGACGGGCCGGAAATGACGATCGGACGGGTGTCGGACGGAGGCGCCATGGTGGCAAAGTGCGCGATGCGACCGAAGCGGAGGTTGCTGTTCGAAAGGCCGAGGGGTTGCGACAAGCGAGGCGCAAGACGGAGGAACCTGAGAGGAGACAACGAGAAATACCAAGGGCCCGCAGCCATAAAAGGAAAAGGAAAGAAGAACAAAAAGAATGGAGGGAAATGCGAAAACAGACAAGGGGTATCAGCACAAGAAAGCGAACGAAAGGAGGTCAACTGAAACGGCCAGGTCGGTGGGGATGGGGATGTTCGTCGATGTGCATTAGTGGGAGGTGAAGCTGGCAGAAAATCACAGTGGGGGAGCTAGAGGCGGTGAAGGGCGGTGAGCCCCCAAGTAATGCTGCCCTTAGTTTGGGAGTAGCTTGTGAACAGTACTTAAACTCACGTTCAAATCCAATAAATTTACTTTATATTGACAGGCCTATTTTGTATATGGTGAAACAACCCTACGTGTGGTACAAACTGCATGCACCGAATCGTAAATATTTCCGGCGTCGAGTTTGGTAATCGAGGTTGGAGGCCATTTGCGGGAGTAATTGAATCACGTGCTTTCCCGTACTTTTGGCGTTGCCCAGCCAGCCAGATTAAAAGGAGCCATCGCTTTGCAGGCGGCTTACAAGCCACTCTAGCCCCCGCTCGAGTTTCACACAGCGTCATTGGCAGTATCGCCTCTTGTTCTCTAACCATCTTTATCTCCGCAAGCTACGAAACGACAAGGAGACATATATTTTACCGTTAACTCGACAGATTCTACTCCATCGCCTCGAACTCTGCCGCATATCGATCTACAATGCCGCCGACAAGAAAAGTGTCTGGCGGCCGCCAGGCAACGCTCAGCTTCAACCACCGTGTGACCAAGCCCTCAGTGCAACGGCAGTCGGCCAAGGAAGCCGCACTTCTGACAGACAAGGCCAAGGAGAAAGAGGCCAAGGAGACCAAGGAGGTTAAGGAAGCCAAGGAAGACAAACAGAAGGACGACGAGGAGGTGGTTGAAGTCAAGAAGGCCAACCGCGAAGTAGTGGCCGAAGACGAGGCTGCATCAGGTGCTGAGGACGAGGAAAACGACGAAGAACCGGCGGCCGAGGTCGTCGAACCGGCTGTTGTTGCCCGTCCCGAAGCAGAGATTAAGGCCGATGCCGTCTCGGATGCGCAAGTCCGTCGGTACTGGCGGGCCATTGAGGCGGAAGGCACCGCTCGCCGGGTGCATCAAGAGGGTCTTGATCTGAGCGAGAAGGTACTGCGGCACTTTGACGTTAGTTCACACTTTGGGGTAAGTCACCGCCCACAGT